GCTCCCGCGCAGGCCGGGAGCTCGCGCGCACGCCGCCTGGTGATCGCAGACAGGCAGGCAGGCAGGCAGCTGAAAAAAACCCTCTTTTAGTTCTTTTGAAAAGATACCTAGCAGAGGGATGGCAGGGTCAAATGGAACCTGCAGTCCAAGCAAGCTCTTTGACGTATCTCCATATTGATTTCCATAGTGGTTGCACCAGCCTGCACTCCCACCAACAATGGAGAAGGGTTCCTTTCTCCCCACAAACCAGCCAAGATTTGTTATTGTGTGATTTATTGATAGCAGCCATTCTTTGTGGGGTGAGGTGGAATCTCAGTGTTGTTTTCTTCTGCATCTCTGGAATGATCAGTGATGTCGAACATTTTTTCATATATTTTCTTACTGCTTTTACTTCTTTGTCTGATAAATATCTGTTCATTTTGGATCTCAACCTGCCACAGATTAAAACTAGACCCTTATCTTTCACCATGCACTAAGTTAAAATCCAAATGGATTAAAGATCTCTGTATTTTCAATGTGTGAAGGGTTTTGTGACTCTACTGAAGCCTATTTATGGAGTCAAGATGAAGGTCTCTTGATTTAGAGGGAGTCTCTTGAATTTGGTAGGAACATTGAAGAAGTAATTTGAAACATCAAATTTCATTTTCATTATCTTGGAAACTTATTTGTTTTTTGGTATCAGGGATCAAACTTGGGCCCTTGTGCTTGTGAGGCAGACAGCAGCACCACTGAGCCAAATCTCCGGCCCTCTTAGAAATTTATGAGGGAAAAATATAATGATGGTTGGTTACTCATTATTGGGCAGGACTATTATGTGATTGCCACATCTGCTTCTAAAACAGCTCATATTTTTCCATTCTTTTGATGGAATATTAATTCTTTCCTTTTCAAATAAACTGCCTCATTTCCAGGCATTTAGTCTTACTTGTGGCAATTTATAGTTGTTCCTACCCTGTTCATGACACTTCACAAATCCTTACCAACTCTTGATTGGATTGTTACAGTACTTCTGTGTCTGATTTCACTGCCTTTAGATTCATTCTTTTTTTTTTTAATTTTATTGAGTTTATTGGTACATTTTAGGGATACAATACAGTTACATTCATTGTTGGGATCATGTACCTTTACATGGCAAGTCTTGATTCTCATTTTTTTCCCCTTACCTCTGCCCCCCCTTTAACCAACCTTCTTGTATACTACTTTCAGATTATTTAAAAATAATATAGTCTATCAGGATCATCCCTAGTCCATATGGATCCTTTATAAAATTGTCAAGAAGTATCTTTTCCAATCTGACAAGGTTCTCTGTTTAAATGAATTGCTGTCTGTGAATTACAAAACTGCATATCTTCCTCTAGGTGAAATAACTGCCTGGCCTGGGTTTTAGTTCCAATGAATATTTCAGATATTCAGTCTTCCATTGCACTACTATGTGTAGTGGACCCAACTTATTTAACAGTACACTCCTGGGCTCTATTTTTGAGGCTTTATGGCTTATAGCACTATAATGATCATTTGTTTTCTCTTTTATAGTAAAAGCATATACAAAATCATTTATATCCAGCAAAAAAAAAAAAAAAAAAAAAAAAGCTGCCTAAAACAAGTTCCCAGAGAACTAGTAAAAATCTTAGATACTCACATAATAAATGCATTAAATAGTAAAGCTAACATTCTGAGGGAGGAATTTTTGGTTTCAAAGCTTTGTTTTTGTTGCACTTGATATTTTTAGGCAAAATGAATATTAGTGAACCTATTCAGTGGGGGTAATGTCAAGATCGCAATGTGCTAACTATGTTTGAAATCTTAAACCCTTCTTTTAGAGTGAGTGTTCCATTTTAAAGCATTTTAGTCTACTTCCCTGAATGTTTTGGGCTATATAAGCAATACATTTTCAACATGGTTTCAATAATTTAAGATGATAAATTTAGCATTTTCAGTCATGTGTATGAAATGAGAAATCCTAACCCAAAAGTATGTCTCAAGGAGTAACATTTAGTCATCTTTATAGGAGATACTATTAAGCACAATTTTTCTGATGACTTCAAATCATACCATTTTGGTCACCCAGTAAGATTTGCTCTGATTCTCAAAGAAGTTCCTACTACAAATATCCTTTCATACTTTAAACAGAAAATATAGCAATATATAATAATATGGCCCAAGTACTTTAATATGTCTTGGAAATATTTACCTCATAAAGAAGTACTGAAACTCATATTTGACTCATACATACTCATACATCCACAGATAAATTAAAAGCAAGAAAAAGATAATAATAGTGTAAGACAAGAGTGTGTGTAGCATTTTTGACATATTTTCTTTCCAAGCATCATAGCAAAGACATATGAACATTTATGTCCTTAGATGGAAACAGCAGCTGAAGTATAATGACAGCTAGGAGAATAATATCTTCTGTAAGTTTAGCAAAGTATGGAATAGCTACTTTATAGCCATGGGAGTACAACAATTTTCCCCAAGCAGTGGACCCCTTGTAAAACTGAAGCAGGGAGAACTCATGGTAAGGAACAAATTATGATGGATAAACAGTGAGAAATCAATATATAAAGTGATATTTATCAGTATTTTAAAACGTAATCATTTTTAAAAATATATTACAGCTCATTTTTTTATACAAAATAAAATTCCAGCAGTTAAACTCTGTTTTTGCCTAACCCACACTTTCAACTTTCAGGAACAAGAAGACTATCGTAATACGTGGCAAATTGAAGTAAGAGTCTCTGTTCCCGTTTAAAGAAGTGTATAAATCATGGAAACTCTGAATTTATTAAAGCCAAAATATGAATTTTCTTTGCCCACAGCATCCTCTGATGGGAATTCTTTCCTAAACAACTGAGTGATGCTGACGAGCAGTTCTACCTCCCATTAGAGGTAAACGATTTTGTTTTTTTTCCTGTTTTGTTAAACAAACCATGTTACTTCCTCTTGTAGCTGTACAAGCCTGCAGTTCTCCACAGGATATCTGGGTAGAAAGGGTAAGGTATTTGTCTTTCTTTTCATACATACGAAAATAGAACTTAAAAGTCTCTGTTTACTGGAAATGAGAGTTTGAATTTCTGTCGCTTCCATTGTAAATATAACCCTGAATCTGCTAATATCTTAGCTTTGGGGGGGTATATTATAAAGAACGGAGACTCCAGTGAGGTAATATCTATTTATAAGTTCAAGTGGTTAAAATACTTACCGAAACTGCTGCATGCTTTGTGAAAGGAAGTGTGGCTGTCTAGATAGAAAGCTCCTTTCTCTACAATTTAATTTGCCATGACAAAAACCAGGAGTCTGGCCTTATATTAAACACTGCTCCTAATGATGATTCCATGTCAAAATTAAGAATGTGATTGATTAAAAATATTTCTGCTCCTGTGAGCCACGGAGAAAAAGGAATTTAAAATTTTAAATCCATGGTTTGTGTCAACTGGATCAAGCAGCACTCACACAGCAAATACATTTAAATGCCTAAATCTTTTTATGAACCTTGACACGCATTTTTGGATTGGGACATTTTCCATTCAGGCATTCCTGGGTGGGTTGTGATGCCTTCAAAGAGTGCAAAATGATTTCCCTCAAGCCCTAGAATCTAGTATAGCACTCAAATCTCAATGGAGCACATTCTCAATTTACAATGAACATTTCTTGTATGTATTTTTAATTTGAGAAGATGGGAAACATTTTAGAAAGGGTTTCCAAGTATTTTACTGTTGCTTTCTAGAAGAAATGTTTCCTTTCCTTACTTGATATAAACAAATAACTTCTTGCTATTTTTTAAAAGTCTGACAATTTCACACTGGAAGTTTGATTTTTTAAATATATGAAATTATTCAACAATATGTAAAGTTATATATGATTCTAGTAAACCAAGTACAAGGCATGTTAAGATATGTGAGACCTAGTCATCACCCATTTTTCTGATATGAACAAATCAATGTATTTTTATATCCTGAGTCTCCCCAGATTAGAGTTGAAGATGCTAATTTTTTCAAAAGATGCCTCAACGAATTTTTTCTGTGAAATATTAAGATAAAGATTTCATTGTCTCAGTAGTTAAAGTGGTAACTTTTTTTGAGATATAAAATGAAACTAACAGCTGACGACTACATGAGGATGACTCACAAAATGGCACTAGCTGCATATTATGGTTGCCAAGTGGCATCATAATGTTGGATACTGAAAGAAGCTCTGTTGAATCTCTGACCACAAGCATAGGTGGGATTTTTCCTACATTGAAGTAGTTACAAAGTGACTGAGACTTAGGACAGTACATGAGACTCAGTTCAGCTAAGCAGCTGTATGACTCTGGGAACCCCCAGAAGAGCTGAGATAAGCATTTCTCCTTGGATTGACCTTCCTAACAAATTAAGTTGTGACAAGATTATATGAAAGAGACCCCCTTACCAGTCATGAAAATTCTGGATCTTTCTTACCAATTGGCTCCCCCTTCCCCATCCACCAAATAAGTTTACTGAGGAGGTAGTTGGTTATTCAGGCCACTGCTGACACCATCCTGTGTCAGGAAGGGGAAAATGAATTTGTTATGTATCCCTAACAGCATATTTTATGCAAATCTGACAATAGGGAAGAGGTTTTCAAATTGTAGAGCCCTGGGTTTGGAGGGAATTACTGTTGCCTAACTCTGTGCTGATATTTCACTTCTGCAGCTGTAGGTGTCCTAGGATTCTGAGAAAGAAGTTAGTCACTAGATCATGACACATTTTTCCATGTGGTCAAAATTATTGCTCATGATTGGAAAAGTAATACTTGTTCATAGTTTCAATGATGATAACATGATAGAATATCTGTAGAATTAGACTTACAGGTTGACTACTGCTTAAGTATACTATTTTGAGAATGGAAAAAGGCATCCTGAATGTAATGTGTTTCAAAGACTTGCCCATGTGTCTGCTTTTAACCAGAAAAGATACTATTAGGAATCTATCCCCAGAAGTTATTTACTGCTTTTCTAAATTTTTTTTTAAATGCAAGTGTTCCTGGTAGTGACAAAAATTTATGAGTTTATGAGCTACATTTGTCAGTCAGCTACTGTTTTGTCAAACAAATAAGATTTGCTATTCAAAAGGCACTTTTTCAATTTAAAGAGAATAAGCGAGTAAAAAGGGAAACACTAAAAGACAACCTAGAGGGAAATCTGCTGAATTCACCCACCCTACTTACTTATTTATGGTGTATTTATAATATATATATTCCATACCTACCCAATAGGCTATGAACATACACATGAACATTCCAGAAAGGAAACAATGCCAATCATGTGGTCAGCTTTTAAATTATTAATTTTGTTTGAAAAAAATATAGTTTTACTTCTCAAATTTAACTAAAAATAGTCACATACTTTAGTAATTTCTAGATGAATTTATTTTAGTTATTTGTTTTTAAAAATATATTTTAAAAGAAATAATAATGGATATATTTGTGATAAATAATGTGATGTCTTGTCTTGATCTATGTAAAAATTGTGGAAAATCAATCCAGTTACCATATCTATCACCTCACTACTTTTGTAGCAAAAATATTAAAAACATTTTAGAAGTTTTTAAATATACAATATTATTGACTATGGTCACTATACAATGCATTTGATCATTACAATTTTTCCTCTGGTGTAACTGAAAATTTACTTTGACAAATGTTGTCCTTCTCCCCAACCCTTCCCCAGCCTCCAGTAAGCATTTTTCTACTCTTTGAAGGCAACTGTTTTTTATTCCACCTAAAAATGCGACTTGTTTACTTGGCATAATTGCTTTCAGTTATGCTTCTGTTGGTGTAAATGAAAGGATTATCTCTCTTTTGAAAGTTATAGAGTGAGATATATATATATATATATATATACACATATAGTGATTATACTGTGAATATATATATATGTATATATATATACATATAGTAATCAAAATGTAAAATGAACATGGGAAATCAGACATCTCTTCAACATACTAATTTTATTTTCTTAAAATGTACTCAGAAGTGAAATTGTTGAAATATAGGGTATTTCTTTTTTCTTTTCCTTTGTTTTTCAGGGGTGGGTACAGGGGATCGAACTCAGGCCTTTGGTGTCTGCAAGGCAGGCTGTGGCACCACTGAGCTAAATGCCCAGCTCGTCATATGGTATTTCTATTTTTAGATTTCACATTATTTTCCAAAATGGCTATCTTAATTTACATTCCTACCAACAATGTACAAATTTCTCTTTGCTGGCTTTAGAATGGAAAAATGCAGCTGAATTTCTATGAGAATATCTTCTTTAATGTCTCACATGAGAGCTGTATAGAGTGAGTGAGTCAATCCAGGGGCTGAAAAATTACCACATGTTTTTCCATACAGGCTTCTGAAAGTTTTGCATTTGAACCTTCCAAAGCCAGAGAGTGATATTTATGCTACAAAATCTAAAACAGAAAATTATTTCACAGTTGTGCATCAGAATTGATAATAATGAATACCATGGGTAATTAAGATTTGGTACACCAAATTTCCTCCAAAGTGAGTTATTTATGAAAAACATGAGGTATGTCTATTTTTGTTAGTTCTTTATTAGGCCAGTTAATTGTACTTTAATAAGTCTCATCATGAAGTCATTTTAAATACTTGTATGTATAAATATTTTTAGACTCACAAGAGATTGGAAACATAGTAGAAAGCCTTGTGCACTCTTCATCCAATTTCTCTAATGATAAGATCTTACAAATCTTTATTTTTAAATTTTGATTAGTAAGATTGTAGTACATAATGATTACATTCATTGTAGGAAATTGAAACATGTCTATAACATGTCTCAATTATTTTCCCCCTTCCCTCCATCCCCTATTATTTGGCCAGCATCAGATTTATTCATTTATCTTATAAATAAACTTAATTTTCATATATATAGATTAACAACCAGACTAATAGGCTCAAAACATATGAAACACATAAGACAATTGTACTAAATCAAGGTACACTATTAGACAAATTGTCCTTGGTGGATTTTGATAGCTTTCTCTCTCTTGCTTTTCCTATTATCTGTCTTTTATTTCTTGATTTATTTATATATTGAGTATTTCATATAAGAGAAACCATGCAATACATAATCTGATGTGTCTGATTTACTTCATTTTGTATTACGGTATCAAGATCCACCTATTTTCCCACAAGTGACTCAACTTCATCCTTATTTATGGCAGAGTAGTATTATATTGCATATAAAAACTTCAGTTTTCTTCATTTGTGCGTTGATGGACATATATATTGTTTCCAAGGTTCAGTCATTATGAATTGTGCTGCTATAAACATGGATATGCACACATCACTGTGCTATGAGGTCAGCAACACTTTCAGGATATTATCTGAAAGACAAACAGATGTATGAAATGGAATTTCTCTTTTTAAGTGTTTGAGGAATCTCCGTACTGATTTTCATCATAGTTTCATCAATTTACACTCTCACCAACAATAAGGAAGTTTTCCATTTTCACCACAGCCTTGTGAGCATTTTTTTAAATTGATTTGATGATATCCATTCTTTCTAGATAGAGACAGAATCTCAGTATTGTTTTAATTTGTGTTTATAAAATGGCCACTTATGTTGAACAGTTTTTCATGTATTTATTGGCCATTTTTACTTCTGCATCCGAGAAGTGTCCATTCCTTTCAGAAGCCCACATTTGAATGGGTCTTTAAATTTGGGGGATATGATTTTTTTTTAGTTCTTTATGTATTCTAGATATATAAAGAGGAATCTGAGGAGTAGCTGGAAATTTTTTTCCCAATCTGTAGGTTATATCTTCACTCCATTGGTAGTTTCCTTTTCTATGTAGAAGCTTTTTAATTTAATGTGATCCAATTTGTTGATTCTTGATATTGTTTCTTGTAAACCAGTGTTTCATTAAGAAAGAGTGCCTAAACCTATGTCTTCAATAGTTTTATGTATTTCATCTTCCAGCAGATTGTTTCTCTTACAAAGTTTAGATCTTTGATCAATTTTAAT